TCCTGGCTGGCAGGGCTGGATTACAGGGAGACCGGAATGGGGCGGACCGCCTGCCACAACGGGCGGAAGAAAAGGCTGAGCTGGAGCACCTGCAGAATTCACCCTTTATTTATCCAGGGAGGGGTTTCAGGTCCAGCCTGGTGTATTCACCTGGGAGCTGAGCAGGACAACAGCCAGGTCTTCACTGAGATTAAGTTTGAAAGTAAACTCTGAAATGTGAATTCAGGCTGCGCTCACTAAACTCCTGACTCGGTGCAGTGCTTAAGGACACAGCTGCTGACCAAAGTCAAACCTAAGCTGTACCCAGTGGTTCACGTGTTAAATGTATGCAGCAGCCCAGCTCTCTGCAGCTTTCTGCTGCAGTTGGCGTCTTGCTGATGACGAGGCGGCCTCTGTAAACTTCGGTCTTCCTTCCTGTCAGTATTTCCACGGCTCTCTGCCAAGATCCACCTGAGACAAGAACCAGAGGTGGCTGCTGAGCAAGTCCTGTCCTGTTTGTGAGGGTCCCCTGAGGGAGTTTGACAAAACCTGTCTTCAGAGCCAGTGAGCAGAAAACCCTCGTCAGAACAGAGCCTTTACCAGCATCACACTGTCCACCCGAGTTCTCACATGGACGTGTTTCTGGTTTTGAATAGGTGTCACAGGTGTGTGTTCCTCTGCTGTCAGGTGCAAGTGTAACGGCCATGCCAGCGAGTGTGTGAAGAACAGCAGAGGGCGGCTGGTGTGTAACTGCAAACATAATACGGACGGCGATGACTGCAACATCTGCAAGCCGTTCTACAACGACCGGCCGTGGAGGAGAGCGACCACCGACAGCGCCAACGAGTGTCTGCGTAAGTTCGCCGCATCATTACTGCCACTGTTTGACATCGGATGTTACCGCTCTACTGCTTTACTCTGGCTACTTCTGCTTCCTAAATTATTACTAAAGCCCAGAGTACTACTAAAGCTAGTATTAGTGCAACGCTGCCTTTACTCCTACTGCTGTAGAATTACTACTATTACTGCCATGACAACAACAGCATTAAGGTAATAAGGTAATAAAAGTGCAGAATAAGACACAAACACATTAAAGGCTGTACTCTGTGTACTGCAGATGACTGTCTCTGTTTACTTTGTAGGAACTGATTCCAAGAAGCCTTCGCGTTAGTCATGACCGTCTCTGGGGGATTGTGGGAGCTGTAGTTCCTGTCTGCTAAAAGTTATATCCCAGTGCAGATGCATGACTAACTGGGTTCGGGGAATTCAAGCGTGTCTCTTGTCCCACAGT